ACTTATGAAACTCTCATTCTGCGCCAGGCACTCATTCTTCAATTTACAAAGGGATCATCAGTTTGCCCAAGATCACCTGGCAAAGTAATAATAAGCTAGAATTTGAACCCAGGCAGGCAGACTTCAGAGTCTTGTTAACTGCTCGTGACATAAACGTGATCTCATTTTTATTGAAAATCTCTTTAAAAAGAAATTTGTGCTTTTATTTACATAGAAAAAATGGAAAAGTTGCATATTAACACTTTAACCATGATTATTTCTGGATGGTGAAATGAGGGGAATCTTTATTTTCTTTATACTCTTCTTTACTATCCACATTTTTTGCCATAATCATGCATTAATTTCATAATCAGATACAAAAATAAGACAACCACCGCTTAGGAAAAAAAGGAAAAGACAGAAATATGGGATGGCCATAATTTACTCCAAAGTCATGATGGATTTAGTCTGAAACTTAGAAAGCCAATTAACTCTGTCATGTTCGACCAATATTTGTAAAGACATTCAAAGGAATAACTTATGGCCACTGGTATGTACCATGACCGCTGCTTATAGAGGGGCCTCTGCACCAAGGCTGTCTTTATTGTGTTTTTAAACAGTATCTGTCAGTGATTCTTAAAATTTTCTAGATAGAGGTCTATTTGAGAATCTGAACAAAGCTCAAGATCCTCTCTCCAGAAAAACACATATACTCACATTTGCAGATTTGCATTAATTCCCCCATAGATTCCAGGCTAAGAATATTCCTTGCCTGAGCCCTCACTCAGTCGTGTCCGACTCTTTGTGACCCTATGGACTGTAGCCCGACAAGCTCCTCTGTCCATGCGATTCTCCAGGCAAAAATACTGGAGTGGGTTGCCCTTTCCTTCTCCAGGGGATCTTCCTGACCCAGGGATTGGACCCATGTCTCTTTCATCTCTTGCACCGGCAGGCAGGGTCTTTATCACTAGCGCCACCTAGGAAGCCGTGGTAAAGAATCCGGCTGCCAATTAGGAGATGAAACAGACGCAGGTTCCATCCCTGGGTCAGGAAGATCCCCTGGAGGAGGAAACGGCACCCCAGTCCAGTATTCTTGCCTGGAAAATTCCATGGGCAGAGAAGCCTGGCAGGCTGCAGTCCATGGGGTCGCAAAGGGTCGGACACGTGGGCTGAGCATGAGCATGGGGTAAGAACATTCCTTCCATATGCCTAATTGAGGGGGTCTGGTATTGCACTGTGCTTTGTCCTTCAAATGGGTTATCCAGTCAACCTGTGTGAGATAAGAACTGTTTTGCAGATCACCAGAGTTGGTTCCCTGGGGTAAGAGTTGCTTTCCCAATCTGCAGACAAAGGATGTGTGAGTCTGATAGGATCAACACTCGTCTTATCAACTAACGATCCTCCGCATAACCTTCCAACCAGGCGCCATACCCAAGAGCTATGGGGTGCGGAGATCTAGGAGACACTATGGTCTCTCTAAATTCCCTCAAATTAGAGCCAAGGAACCCGTGACCCCAAAAGAAGAAATGACACGCATCTTAGTCCCGTCTCTCCTATTCGCCACAGCTGTTCTCAGTGCTAGTACCCCGCAGAGACGGAGCAGTAGCTCTCAATAAGGGTCTGAACGAACTGGATGGTAAATGGAGAAAGACCTTAGGTGAGTGAACAGGCAGAAAGAGGTGGAGAAGCAGAGGTCGCTGGCCAGACTCCCACCCCAAGGGGTCACATGGAGAAAATCTAGAGCTAGTCCCCATCCAGGGTTCACAGAGAAAATTCAGGGCTAGTCCCCATCCAGGGCAGTTTGCTGGGGATAAAAAAGCAGCAGCGATAAGGGAGCTCTCTCTCCAGCTGAAAATTTTCTCGCTGAGACCCTCCATCCTTCCAAACACATCCAGACAAATATATGGAAAGGCGAAGGGAAGAAGGTACCCCAAATCTCTGATACCTGATACAGGAATCTGGCTCTTCTTGGCAGTTCACGTTGCACATGAAGCGCTCCCAGTGCAGCCAGCCCATGGTAGGGGTCATCGCCAAGCCGTTGTCCAGGCCGCAAGCCCCAGGGAGCCCGCAGGGAACCAGGACCTGGAAGCAAAAGACCAGCACGCAGCCCAGCCACAGGACTCTGCTCAACGGTTTCATCATCGCTGTCATCATACAGCACAGATTTCCAAGAGTCACCTAGGGTTTTTAAATTTAACCTTCGGGGGTAAAAAGGCAGAGACGGTCCGCGGAACCCGCTTTGGTCCCCATCACCAATCACCGGTGAGTTATTAAGCCGTGACGTGACTGTTTCTCCAGCAACTGGGATGGTATCCCCAGAGGCCGACCAATGACCAGTCAAGGACGACGCGCCGCCACCAACCACTCTCCCTCTTTCTGAATATCGACCCGCCCTATTTTTATACCAGAAGGAAGTGCGGCACTTTAATGATCCGGGTTTAGAGCCTAGCGGTGCTCACGTGACCGAGATCTCACATGACGTAGGCCCTCACGTGACCAATCGCTTACGTGAGCAGAAGTAGTTCTGGTCGTCGTCTACCGTCTCGCTATAAGCCGTTTGAGGAAAGAAAGAGGAAAATTATCCGGTATCGTTAGAGGTTGGTGTGTGGGTGGAAACCGGGGACCCGGGGGTGGTGATGATGCAGACCAAAGCGGGGTCCGCGGGCCGCCTCCGCCTTTTTCTTTCCCTGCTTTCCCCTCCCCCGCTCCCCCTTCCCCCATCTCAGTGCCGGGAAGCCGCCTTTGCTGCGCCTGGTGGGGAAATGGTGGACGCTCGTGACTGTCTGTGTTTTTGTATATCTGTCTGTCTGGGCGGGTCTCAAAGGACCCTTAAGAGAAACCGTAAGCTGAAAAACATTGGAAAACCACGTCCCTGGATTAGGAAAAACAGATTCAGTCCAGTGGTCTGAATGCTAGTCCACCCATTCAGGGACCCAGTCTCCAGTGCCTGATTGTCTGTAGGGAGAGGCACCAAGCGGATTTGATCTGTAGAGTCACATCTAGGCAAATAACTGCGTGCCTGACCGCGGCGCCCAATGAATGTTTTTGCTGAATTAAATATTTAAATAACGTTTATTTTTCCGGCTTTTAACAAGCTACATGTTCAATTTTTGGACTTTGGAAAAATAACGGTATGCTATAAATTGAAAAAAAAATACACGTAATTCATCACTCGCAGATAACTATTTCGGTCTGTAAACGTCTGTATATAACCCGCACATAAACGCACAAATTCTTAACTCACAAATGGAATCTGGGTTCCTACTTCAGGCAACAGTGCCCTCGTGGCCTTCCCAAGAGACACAGTGATGAAGCAGAACCTCCGTGTCCCCACACGGGATGTTAAGGCCTAGAGGGCTGTAGGGACAGAATGGGTTGTCCAAGAGTTAAGGCAAGCAAAAAACCAGTGTGTAAATCTGTCACTCAGACCTGAAAATGGTCTATAGGAAGACTTAGCACTGCACATGCATTGTTCAGGCACATTTTAGGGAGTTAGTGAATGTTGACTTGAATCTTTGGTGTAGTTTTAGGGACATTAGTACACTTTGCACTTTCTTTCCAAGAGGTCCATTGTTCCCAGACCATGTCAGATAAACCATGCACATTCAGAAATAGAAATTTTAATCAAATTTGCTATACCAAATATCACAAAAGTAAACATTTTAATTTGTTCTGTTTTTTTTTTTGCTGAAAGATAAGTTTCTCTATAGAAAATTAGGAATGCACAAAAGAACTGAAAAAAGTTGAAAAAACCATAAATTTACCACTCAGAGTAGCCTGTATTAACATGTGACAAATTCCCCATGCGTGTACTTTCCTAACTTTAAAAAAATTCGAATTACAATGATTTTTAAAAATTAAACTATTTAGAAGTATATAGGGTAAAAAGTGAAATTTCTCTACATTCTTGCTACCTTACAGTGCTCCTTTTCTCAAAAAACAACTTACATGCTTCCAGAACTTCTCTGCATTTACATACATATAGATGTGCCTGCTTATATTTTAAAATAAGTAGGTTCATACTATACATTATTCCTTCATTTAATTTAGTTTGGAAATCTTCCAGGGTCAGGGCAGATTTTTTTTAAAATTTTTTTTTCCATTTATTTTTATTAGTTGGAGGCTAATTACTTTACATCATTACAGTAGTTTTTGTCATACATTGAAATGAATTAGCCATGGATTTACATGTATTCCCCATCCCGGTCCCCCCTCCCACCTCCCTCTCTACCCGATCCCTCTGGCAGATTTTAAGAAAAAACAGCTGCTGGCTTTCTGTCTTAATGATAAAGTATAATTCACTCAGCCATTCCCCTATTATTGGGTAATTACTTTTCTAATTTTCTGCCATCACTAGCAATGCAACAGTGAACATTTGTGAGCATTTCTGTTGACCAGGTTCCTGGAAGGAATTCTAGCATGGTCGAAGGATATATGAACATATATTTTTCTCACAGTTGTGGTTATAAAACAGTTATGATCTTGGGTCACTTAAGATTATAGCATAAGTAATTTCTTATGTTATTAGATTTCCAATTTTTAAAGTGGTTAATATTTCATCTTTCTTAGTAAAATATCTTTCAAAGAATATTTAGCTCCATAAACCTTTGTCTGAATTTCAGATCTTTTTAGGGCATATAACCAGAAGTGGATTTACTGTATCAAAAGGCATGACATATTTCCAGATTTCTTTCCAGAGATACTGCATCAACTTTCACTGCTCTGGGAGTGTATTAGTTTGGGAACCCTGAATATCAGTATCAACTTTTCCTTCCTGTTTTACTTTCACTGTGGTGATGGGTGAAAAACAGCAATTAATTGTAGTTTTAACTTGTATTTCTGATGATTGATGAGGTTTGAACGTTTCCCAGACTCTTCTCTATCTTCGCATCTCTATTGCCCATATATTTAATCTGTTACCTAGTCTCCCAGAGTCCACTGCTTTGAGTGCATAGATCATATCTTGCCTCTCCCTTTTAAAAAGTATCTTGCCTCCCCCCCCCCTTTTTAAAAGTGCTGTTGCCTTAGATAAATACCTTAACATATCTCTAACAGAGCTGTAGCTGCTCTTGGTAGTGTCACCCCAACCCCCTTTGTTTGAGCGTCACACTGTTGCCATGGTAATCTTTCTGAAAGGTTCTGATTACTTGACTCTCCTCCCCTCACTTTCCTTCTTCTCCTTCCCCCCTCACTTCTCTCCCCTTACCTCCCTCCCCCTCTCTCTCCTCCCCTCAGTGCCCCATGTAAAACCCTTAAAAGGCCTCTAGCCTTTGTCTGTCTGATAAGACCTCCTGGATGGATCTTTTCCTTGCCAGCCTTATTTCCTGCCTTGCCTCCTCCTATTTTATTCTCCATCATAATTTTTAGAATTTGTGGATCCCTGAGCCGGTTGGTCCTTTTCACTTAACTATTCTATGCTGATAGAATTGACCAGTCAATCCCTGCTTTTTAACACCCTTTCACCCTGTCCATAATTATGTCATAGTAGAGAAATATTTATTTGCTCATTTTGTCTTCAGTACAGTGCCTCTGTAGGACCATGAGCCCTTTCTGGGCTTATTGATCCTTATATGCCAGAACCTAGTAGTGGATCTGGCAACTGAACAATGTAAAATGAAGATGTGAATTCTCTACAATGTCTTTTTTCCATTTATCTCTTTGGCCTTAATATTTACTTGATTTTTAAAATTTGTATGAGTTTTTCAATATAATAAAGATAGTAATGTATTTGTTGTAGTTATCTTCTCGTTTGTTTTTTATGTTAAATCTTTTGATGTAATGAAGTTTTCCATTTTTATATAATCAGATGTCTTTTATGTGGTAATGTCTCACTGATTTAGTTGCCATTCATTTTGTGTATCTTTTCATCTTTTGTATATCTTTCCTGACTTTGTGTTTGTATATGATGAATGTGGAAAACCTAGAACATACAGAAGTGGCCAAAGAAACAAAGTTTCTTTGTTTCCCTGAAACAAAGTTCCCATAATATTACCACCCAGAAATAGCCACCATTAATGGTATCCAGCACATGAAATAGGTATCAAATAAATAGTTGTTGAATGAATGAATGAGTTAGACATTTGGTGAAGTCTTTCTGTTATACAAATGTCTTAAGAAAAAGCTATCAGTGTAATTGAGTTTTCTATTAATAGTTTGCTTTTTCTCTCTTAACCATATTATGAACATTTTTCCATGACAGTAGTCTTACTTTTTTTTCAGCTATACCGAAATTACATTGAACTGAACCTGCCAGCAAGAATTCAACAGCCACAATGATGCTGAGTACAGAAGGCAGGGAGGGGTTCGTGGTGAAGGTCAGGGGCCTGCCCTGGTCCTGCTCAGCTGATGAAGTGATGCGCTTCTTCTCTGATTGTAAAATCCAAAACGGCACATCAGGTATTCGTTTCATCTACACCAGAGAAGGCAGACCAAGTGGTGAAGCATTTGTTGAACTTGAGTCTGAAGATGAAGTGAAATTGGCTCTGAAGAAGGACAGAGAAACCATGGGACACAGATATGTTGAAGTATTCAAGTCCAACAGTGTTGAAATGGATTGGGTGTTGAAGCACACAGGTCCGAATAGTCCTGATACTGCCAATGATGGCTTCGTCCGGCTTAGAGGACTCCCATTTGGCTGTAGCAAGGAAGAGATTGTTCAGTTCTTTTCAGGGTTGGAAATTGTGCCAAATGGGATGACACTGCCGGTGGACTTTCAGGGGCGGAGCACAGGGGAGGCCTTTGTGCAATTTGCTTCGCAGGAGATAGCTGAAAAGGCCTTAAAGAAACACAAGGAAAGAATAGGGCACCGGTACATTGAAATCTTCAAGAGTAGCAGAGCTGAAGTCCGAACCCATTATGACCCCCCTCGAAAGCTCATGGCTATGCAGCGGCCAGGTCCCTATGATAGGCCAGGGGCTGGCAGAGGGTATAATAGCATTGGCAGAGGGGCTGGTTTTGAAAGGATGAGGAGGGGTGCCTATGGTGGAGGGTATGGAGGCTATGACGACTATGGTGGCTATAATGATGGATATGGCTTTGGATCTGATAGATTTGGAAGAGACCTCAATTACTGTTTTTCAGGAATGTCTGATCATAGATATGGAGATGGTGGGTCCAGTTTTCAGAGCACCACAGGGCACTGTGTACACATGAGGGGATTACCTTACAGAGCCACTGAGAATGATATTTACAATTTCTTCTCACCTCTTAATCCCATGAGAGTACACATTGAAATCGGACCTGATGGCAGAGTTACTGGTGAGGCAGATGTTGAATTTGCTACTCATGAAGATGCTGTGGCAGCTATGGCAAAAGACAAAGCTAACATGCAACACAGATACGTGGAGCTCTTCTTGAATTCTACCGCAGGCACAAGTGGGGGAGCCTATGATCACAGCTACGTAGAACTCTTTTTGAATTCTACAGCCGGGGCAAGTGGTGGAGCTTATGGTAGCCAAATGATGGGAGGCATGGGCATATCCAACCAGTCTAGTTATGGAGGTCCTGCCAGTCAGCAGCTGAGTGGTGGTTACGGAGGTGGATATGGTGGTCAGAGTAGTATGAGTGGATATGACCAAGTTCTGCAGGAAAACTCCAGTGACTATCAATCAAACCTCGCTTAGGCAGAGAAGGAGTACCAAACAACAACAGAAATAACAGCTGTGCATCTATGGGCGTTAACTAGAACAGGAATGGTGTCAGGCATATCCAGTATGATTGGTACATGGGAATTATCATTGATTCTGATCACTCTTGGTCAGCTAGCTTCCTTTTCTTTTTCCTTTCATTCCTTTGTTTCTCCTCCCCTCTCTCCTACCCTCCCTCCCTCTTTCTTTCTTTGTTTCTTTTTCTCTCTTTTTTTTTAAGAAACAAAAATTAAGTTTAACAGTTTTGCATTACAGGCTTGTAATTCATGCTTACTGTAAAGTGGAAATCAGGATTGTTTTAAAACTTCAAGCTCAATAATTTTGAACACTGAAACATTCACCTAGGATGTAATAACAAAGTTCAGTATTGACCATAACTGTTAAAACAACTTTCAGCTTTCTTCAAGTTAGTTATGTTGTAGGAGTGTACTTAAGCAGTAAGCCTATTTAGGTTAAAGCAGTTTCACTTATGTTAAATGTTGCTCTTATACCATGATACATTGAAAACTTTGGATGCATGTTGAGAAACATGCTTTTCTGTAAAACTCAAATATAGGAGCTATGTCTACGATTTCAAGTGAAAACATTTGGCATGTTTGTTAATTCTAGCTTTTTGGTTTAATATCCTGTAAGGCACGTGAGTGTACACTTTCACTTTTTTTTTTAAAAAGCTCTGGGACAATTTTGAGATGTAATACCAATACTTTAGGAGTTTGGTCATGTCGTTTGTATGAAATTCTGAGGCTTTGATTTAAATCTTTCCTTGTATTGTGATTTCCATTAGATGTATTGTACTAAGTGAAACTTGTTAAATAAATCTTCCTTTTAAAAACTGGAAAAATCTTGTACAGCTTCATTTTTATTATGTTCTATCTTACAAGCCATTTCTTTTATACAGTCCTCTGCTGGTGAAATTTAAATTGGTTTTAATTTTTAATTATTATGAATATACGTTCAAATCTTTATATATACATCATTGCACATATCATTATTTATTTCTAAGATATATTCCTAGAAGTGGAATTGCTTAGTCAAAGGTCCACACATTTTTGAGACGTCTGATTTATATTGCCAGAAAGATTATGGTACTTTGTGTTTCCATTAGGAGTGTATTTTTAAAAATTTAGCATCCACATATGAATGAATCCTCATAGGATCCTCATAGCATCCTCAGTGAAGCACATTTTTCTCCTTGATCTTGGCCAGTTTGTTAGTTGAAAGTTGTATCCCATTATTATTTTACTTTGTCTTCCTTAGACTAATATTGAGATGGAGCATCTTTGTGTTTGTTTCTATGTTTATCCTCATCACATCCACAGGACTTTTGAGCTACTCTGGAGACATTGTACTTTTTCAAGGCAGCATGTTCCAAAATCCAAAGAAGTAAAGGCCAGTAAATAATCCTCTTCCATTCATTTAACTGTCAGTTTAGAAGATCTGAGACACCTTTATATGTTTAAAAGAAGAAGCAGACCTATGTTACAGAAACAATTTGGTGTCCTCCATGAATTTATTAATAGTCTCTAAACACTCTTTAAGGTATTTTTTTAAATTGGAGGATAATTGCTTTACAAGTTGTGTTGATTTCTGCTGTACAATGAAATGAATCAGCTCTTTAAGGTTTTTAAGGGGGCATTTAAAGCTTGTTTTAAATCATTGGTTCTCAAACTTTAGTATGCGCCAGAATCATCTTATGGGGCTTGTTAAACCGTTGGTTACTGGGGCTCACTCTTAAGAGTTTCCGAAATTCAGTAGTTCGGGGGTGGTGCTCGAGAATCTGCTGATGTGGCTGGTCTCAAGACCGTGTTTTGTGCTTCATCATAGTTCTCTAATGGCTACAGGCCTCTAAACCCTAAAATGCAACTCTTGAGAAGCTGCTTGCTCCCTGATTCTTGATTGCCTCCCCCACTATCCTGTATCAAGTAGTTTAAACTTTCTATGACAGTATAAATTGCATATGGCTGTTTATAATACTTTGCATCTCCTGTGAGGACTTTGAAAACCTGTGACATCTGAGGTTACCTTACATTTCCATCCATATCATAGTGGCCATTAACAATTACACTTCTCAATGACCTTCAGGCCTGGATGCCCTCAGGCCAATACCAGTTGCACCTGAACTTTGATAGATGATTTTGTAGATTTCCTGCCTAGCCTGGAAATCCTTGGTCTGTTTAGAGCTTGAGGCCCAGAGAAATGCTCTAAAGTCAGAAGCAACTACCAAATTGGTATTACCTGATTCCATTTTATTCAAGGACACTTTTTATTGAAAATCATGCTGAGGATACAGTGGGCAGTGATTTGAAATTCTCCAATGACTTCTAACTTCTTTACAATTGCCAAGAAAGCAAGGTACCATTTCAACACATGTCATACCGAGCCAGTTATTTACTTTGCCCTCCTAAGGCTTTCAGCAGGCTTTTTTCAGAGGGTTCACAAGTAGGAGTTTTTGCTTTCCAGGCTGCTCAGTTAATTTTCCAGAACATTCTTAGTATAAGCGAAGATTCTCCAGTTAGCCACTAGATGTCACCAAACCCCAGGATAGGTTTGGCTGATCCCGGCCCACCCCGCCCCAACCACCCTGTGAACTGATACACAAATGCACTGTAAGTTTTATCTACAAATCAAGGTCTTTTCCTTCAGGGAAAATTCTGTCAGCAAAAATGAGGATTTCACCAAGCTGAGCCTCGAGGACTGTTGCAAAACAGCAGCTGATGGAGTGAAAGTCCATTTGCTGTGCCTGATACCAGGGTGGGATTGTCACAAGGGCCATTTCACAACCTACTCCCACATTGACCAAAATTCGGTCTTGTGAATGCAAAAAAACCCCCAAAAAACCACACATGTGCATGGGGTCACAAGCTTAGCGTGGTGCAAGACGTCGTTTGGGAGAAGAGGGTGTTAGTTTGCGCCTCGAGCTTCTGTGGAAATGCTTTTTCCAAGAGTCCTTTTTCTCCATCCCTCCCTCCTTTGCACAGGGCTCGTCTGTCAAGCTCGCACGTCATTACGTCAAGGCCACCCCCACTTTAGAGATGAGAAAACTAAGTCTCTAGGAGAGTAAGAATCAACCTTGTCTTTAGGGAAGAAGCAGGATGCTGGAGGGAGAGGAAATGACGTCTGGCCAGGGAAAGAGAAGGAAATGCCTCGGATCCTCAGGGGATGATGTAAGGGTAGTCTTGCCCTGGGATGTGAGTCAGGAGGGTGGCGCTGATAAGCGCTGAGTTCAGCGGCTCCTCTATAGCTCCCCAGACTGCAGTACGCTTTCCAGATGGTTTAGCCCGCCGAGTGACGGTGAAAGGGTCAGGTAAGGGCCCCTCTGGAAGACAAAGAATTTGGAAAGAATTCATTGTTCCCTCTCACCGTCCGCTTTCCAGAGACCCTCGACACTCTCCACCCAACCCCCTAGTGTATTTCGTTTCCCAAGAGGGACAGGGAAGAGGTCTGGCCCTAGCCGTTCAGGCGTAAGCGCGGGCCTTGTATGAGGGGGCGTGGTTAGCGCGATGACTGACAGCTGGTGGCTTCCAGGAGGAAAGGACTTCGGAAGTCTCCCTCCTGCCCATTTCTGAGATGGGCGAAAACTACTTTGGTAACCATCTAGGGCATGCTAAATACGGCCCCCTGTAGATGAAAAAAATTAAATCATAGTCAATTTAAGAAAGAAATGGACATTTTTATTGAACCAACCTCAGGATTATAACCTGGGAGACCAGCTCTTAAAGAACTTGGAGCAGTGCTCCAAAGAGGTGAAGAGGAAGATTTCAGAGAAATGAAAAGCGAGAGTTGTGAGTTTCAGGTTTATTTGGAGATATTGAGGTCTATAGCTCTGGAGACGGCTTTTCAGAAAGTTCTGAGGAACTGCTCCCAAGAGGTAAGGGGGGAGGTCAATATATACATATTGACACAGCACAACACAGCACAACAAAGGTTAGTGACTTCATTGGCTAATGACTCAATCCTTGTAGAAGCAGGTGGTGAATGACCTTCTTTAGTTGGCATGAAAGTGAAAGTATTAGTCACTTGGCACTGTCCGACTCTTTGAGACCCCATGGACTATGGCCCACCAGCTTCCTCTGTCCATGGAATTCTCCAGGCAAGAATACTGGAGTGGCAGCCATTTCTTTCTCCAGGGGATCTTTACAAACTGAGCCACAAGGGAAACCCCTCTTTAGTTGGCTCCATTGTTGTGGAGAAGGCAATTGCACCCCATTCCAGTACTCTTGCCTGGAGAATCCCATGGACGGAGGAGCCTGGTAGGCTACAGTCCATGGGGTCACGAAGAGTCGGACACGACTGAGCAACTTCACTTTCACTTTTCACTTTCATGCATTGGAGAAGGAAATGGCAACCCACGCTAGTGTTCTTGCCTGGAGAATCCCAGGGATGGGGGAGCCTGGTGGGCTGCCATCTATGGGGTCGCACAGAGTCGGACACGACTGAAGTAACTTAGCAGCAGCTCCATTATTGTCATCATATGCCCAAAGTTTGGGAGGCATTTTGTGACCATTTAGGATTCCACACTATTAGGAATATTAATTCCCAGGTCAGGCGAGGATTTCATTGATAAGCCACACAATGTACTAGTCTATTGTGGTCCAGGAAATGGTTCCCTCTTGTTGCTTAGTCTCATATCTAGAGTTACACTAGAGTTACACTATTACAATCATTGATCTTATAGAACTGTATTTGGTCAAATGTTTCAAGTTACCTAGCCATCATTATTTTTATTGGAAGTTCAGTCATACTTTGGTAATGCAAAAAACAATAGTCTTGTAAAATAGGCAGACTGCAAGTAATATAACTAATAACATTGTGTTTTTTTGCTTGATAATTTTTTGGTCATACCATGTGGCTTGTGGAATCTTAGTTCCCTGACCAGGGATTGAACCTGCAAACTCGGCAGTGAAATCATGGAGTCAGAACCCCTAGACTACCAGGGAATTCCTAGCTAGTAACATTAATAGGGTTATAAAGTACATACTTATGTAAGAACTTTGATTAAGTGTGGCCCAGTATATCCCCAGGTCATTTGACCTGGTCTGTTCCAGTCCAATCTCTATCTTCAAGGTAATGATTATTTTGGCATTGCCCATAAGGCACCCAGCTCAATTATGTAGTGTCATTAGGCTGATTAACCTTAGTATGATTCATTTGTTCCTAACATTGGGGGCTGTAAACTTAGCTGATCGTAGCCTGATGTTAATCATATTAATCTATTCCATAACTGAAGAAGGTTATGTTCTTTGATTGAAATTTATCTAGTTGCTCTGACTGAGCTTGAGTAACTTTAAAAGAAAAGTCATTTATGGTCGTGGTCAGAGCAAGTATGATTGATTGGCCAAGTGAGGGAATCCCATCTACTAATTATCAATACTGGCCAAAACAGAACTATAACTTCTTTCTTCTAGAATAAATTTCCTAAGGGCCATCCAATTAGAGCCTTGGAGAGGAGAAATCCATCAAGGTGACCCAGAAGTATTGGATGTAGGTAAGTGTGGGATCGAGGATCTATGGAAAACAGGCAAAGAGAGGGAAGAATGAATTCTTATCAAATTCTTTCTTTGTCTTCCCCCTACCTGACCCTCTTCCCACCACTCCGTGGGCTAGCTGTGGCGAAAGGGGACTGAAGTCTGGGGAGCAATAGAGGAGCAGCTGGAAAAAACATTGATTTATGCAAGATTCCAAGAAATTGAACTTGGGCACAACTCCGGGAGATAGTGAGGGACAGGGAGGCCTGGCATGCTAGAGTCCATGGGGGCCAAAGAGTTGGACACAACTTAGTGACAAAACAGCAACATCCAAGAAATTAAGAAAGCACTGTAAATATACAGGTCAGGTCTAGTA